ATGTTCGATAAACAACAAAAATCTGCTTTTGGTTGATATCTTTTATCATTCGCAAAATTCCCCATTTTAAAGCTGGTTCTACATTAATCACAAGTTTGTCGCGACAGTTCAATCTGTGAAGCGTCAATTTTTAAACTAGAGATCTCACAAGAGATATTGAACACCATACGTTCGTTCCACTATATTTTTCAGAACCTGCTTATATAAAATGGAATAAGATGTCCTAGCATTTTATCCCATCTTATCAGATTGGTAAAAATCATGTTTTTCATTGTTTAAAACATGCTCAATATTTTTAATATATTTTAAATATGGTTTTTTATAATACTATTTAAAGCGTGTATTAAAAACATGTTTAAAAAAAGACACGACGTTTTGTTTAAAAAAAAAAAAAAAACATCTTTTACCAATTCTGTTAATCTTATGCATCTATCTCATTTTATCTTAAGCAGATCCTGAAAAATATGACGGATCAATCAAAAGTTGTTTAAACGTCCAATCTTTTATTTGAGAATTTCTAACTGTCGTACAAGCTTGCGATTAATGTAGAACTAGTTTTTATAGACAAACGACGGCGATTTGCGCCGTCGATTGTCACAGTGTCTTGCGTAATTTATGAGGAAATTTTGCGAACATCAGCTCGAGCTGGAGAGACAGAGCGAACAGGGGGACGTGAGCAATTATCAGGCGAACGGCGAGTTCCATCTCCTGGACTTCACCGCTCGCAGAAACGTCGAGTATTATTCCTGTTGCGAGGAACCATACCCCGACATCACTTACGAAATTCGCTTACGACGACGTCCGATGTTCTACGTCTTCAACCTGATTCTGCCCTGCATACTAATCAATGGCGTTGGTAAGTGGACTACATAAATGCTCATACCTGAGCGAAACAGCGCGGAATGCCCAAGTTAGTGACCTGCAGTAGATCGACTAATGTTCGTATATCAAAGGGCATAGTAATTGTTTTTCGGTACTTGTATGTATTCAAAATACTGTTACTATAATTCCTGATTTAGAAAGTTCTAATATTACAATTAATGGTGTTATATCTTATTTTATATCTTACATTGAAAATATATTTAAGAAAAAGAATTGGAATAATTAATAATTGCATTATTAGCAACTTTATTCTAAAAATAATATGAGAACAAAAAAAAGGCCCCGAAGAAATAAGTCATATAATAAAAAAATCTTTATTATACCTATGATTTACCTCTTCTCTTTCTCTCTCTCTCTCTCTCTCTCTCTCTTCAGAGTCTGTTTTATTTATTCTGAAAATACGAAACTTTTTTGTAAACAATATAACGCGATCATTTATCGATTTTTACATCGCATCATATTCAGCAAAGAATGAATAAAATAAAATACTACTTTTCTTTAAAAATATCTTTTCAAAAAAAAAAAGACCGCAACTTTTTAAGACATTTATTGTTAGGTTGAATCTCATTAGTGAAGTTTCACAGATTGTGAATTAATGATATGCGGTATAATGTAATGTAAATTTCGAGGACCTTGTTTATTAATAAAGGAAATAAGAGGTCTTATCATTAGTTATGAAGTAAATTTTATAAATAAATCCTGAAACTATAAAGTGGTAGACCGCATGAGAAGTCATATAAGAGATTAAGTACGCTCTCTCTTCCGATCTTTCCGCACTCTTCGTACGACCTGCTTTTTTGAGAAAATTGAGATTGCCCCTACTAGCACGAAACGCGAATCTTATGAATTTCCGTAATAGTTTTCATAATCTCGGCGGAAAAAACGATATCTTTATCAATAACTACGCGAGTAATCAAATTACATGTTAAAACTCCGCTAGAAATAGTTGAATCGACGTCGATCGATGTCGATAGCACTAATATAGTAACTAGTCAATCGATATCGATTCAGCCGATCATTTCTAGCTGAAAATTTATTATTGCTTGATAAAAAAATCAAGATGCACGATCATCGTTTTTATATACATATTCGAAAGAAATTCGGAATTTTAATAAAAATATACATTTAAATAAAAATATGTCAAGAATATTTTGAAAACAGATTACTTGACAAGTTCAAAGTTAATTAAATTTCTATAAAGAATCTAAAGAATTAATTGCTTGCTATAAATTTTTTACATTAAATATTTTTGTAATTATTGTTTAAATTAGAATTAAAGCAAAATTATTTTTATATTTATTTTTTGATAAGAAAAAAAATGTTTTAGCTTAATACACTTTCTTATCTAAAATATTTACTTTTAATTATTCTATATATATTCTAATACCGCACTAATGCAATTAAGAAAAAAAAAACATATTTCTCATAAAAATATTATAATGTAGACAGTAAAACAAAAAAAACGTAATTACTAAATTTCTAAAGTTCTTTATTAATTCTTTGTAAAAACGTAGAAAAAATGATCTTCGAATACTATGTAATATTATGCAAAAGAGGGGAAGATGAGAATTCGAAAAATAATATTTGCGATTGGGTCTAATAGCGTTAGGATTTGTAGGGGGAAAAACAAATTAAGTGATCGCCTTTAAGGAAACGACGGCATAAACCGAAGCATTTCATTACATTTCTGCTGCCATTTATCGATAATGAAAGAAATTTTCCGAGAACTTGTTAGATATTAGCGCCAAACTAATAGAACAGCAATTACCTATCAAGTAAAAAATGAATTTTATAGACAAAAAAAAAGTGTAAAGTAGGACATAATAAAAGTCCTTCTAACAATAGCACGATCTACTTTTTTATTGTAAATCTTGATAGATAAATTTAAATATGTAGATGAAATAATCTGGCTTCTATAATGATAAAAACTCGTTAAAGTTTTGAAAAGTATACTAGAATTTTTTTAGACTTTTATAATCTGAAAAACAATAAAAAATTTACTTTGTTTCTTGAAGGTCCCTATTACTCTCTGATGGAGGAATTAAAATTTATGTTGCCAGTGGAAGTTTAGAGAGTAAAGAAATTAACGTATAAGGTATATATAGAAATAGATAGATAAAACAGACAATATTGAAATAACAGAATATAAGACCCAGTAGGGCAATCAAGACTGTCGGACAAATGGGACAACGCAATGGTTTTCCGATGATAAAATTGATGGTTATAGAACAGTTAAAAAAGGACAACTATGAATTATCGGGAAATATTTATGATTTTATTTGGTCAAAAGAATTTGTAAATTATTTTACACAACAATAGTAAAAAATTGACAAAATTTAAATTCATTTCCCATTTGTACGAATATTTACTAATATTTTTCGCAAGATTAAGACTGGTATAATTCGTAATTGGTTTTTATATTTAGGATCGTTTTAAGTACAGTTTTAAGATGTTATGGACCTATCAGAGAGAATTATATATTATATATTATATTAGCATCTTACTTTATTTAGGACGGTCTTAAAATAAGAATCGATTATAAATACCTCAAATAAAAATTATGGAAAACTGATAAGTATTCTATAAAGCATAAAATTATCGTGATATCAATCAATAAGGAATTTAGTTATTGATAAATATAATGATGTTAAATATAATAATGTTTAATGAGAACAAAAGATGTGGAAAACTTAATAAAATTTAAATTTATCGAACGAGAAAGAAGCAACCTGAGCAACTACCTCACCTTTTTTTATCGTTTTTTTCCTGCAGTTCTGCAGGTTACTCCATTCTCGATCCACAAACTTTTGAGTTTGTCACGAGACTTCAAATCGAAGTCTCGTGGAATATCTCGGATTCAATATTTCGCGATAAGGGTGAAACTTTCGCGAACGCTATTCTTGTTTGCTCTCCAGCCCTGCTGGTGTTCTACGTGCCCTCCGAGTCGGGGGAGAAAGTCACCCTCGGCATCTCGGCCCTTCTGTCTATGACAGTGTTCCTGATGACCATTCGCGAAACTTTGCCGCCCACGGAGAAGACACCACTGATAAGTGAGTACTTTGTTAGTCATTTCTGATTAAAAACTTTAATTTAAAATTCGAAAACATTTCTATATATCCAAGATATTTTCAAAATTTATGATCCATCAATTTTTTTCTATGCTGTCATTATACATATTTGGTTGAATTATGACAAATATTTTTTCGGAATCATATTTTCGAATTTTAAAATCACTCGATTTTGTTAATTTTGAATGGTTCGACGCAAAACGTTATCGTGATTTTACCGAAACGGTTCACATTATCCTGCTTTTATGTTAGTTAATTTTAAAATTAACATTTTAAATTGGCTGACGTAATAAGCTTGAAATTGACTTGAAAGCGACTAATGTAAGACTAAAGTAATGTAGAACCAGGGTTATAGTTGCTCGTTACTCATTAAAAAACCTGCGGGAAAGTGCACCTGGGATTTCCTTCAGACGCGGTTAGCCGTCTCTGCAAGATTGAATAGCGTCTCATTTCTGCTAATGTAGTCTTCAAAGAAGGATCCCGAAGGAGTGTGCTCAAAGAACAGCGAGAAAACCAAATAAAAATAGTTCGGAATCGTTACTCAAGTGGAGAAAGAATTTTGTTTAATGGTTAGACACACACAACGGTTTGTGTGGTAGACAATTTTTTTAACAAGATACAACGAGTGCATCATTATTCAGCAAATTTCTTCAAATAAAAATAACAATATTTTATCTGATTCTTTTAATTCTGTCTGTTGTATTTAATTTAAATATATTTATATATTTTAAATATGTGTTTAATTCAATATTTTATAAGAGAGATGAATATTTCATATTTTATAAAAATTCTTTGAATTGTTTTTGTATCTTTTAAAAACGGATTTAAAAGAGAAATAAATTTATTTTAAATTAAATCACACACACACACAACATTCACTCGCTATATGAGTTGATCCTTACTTGACAAGTGGCATAAGTTTAAAATTAGAACAAATGCATTTGTGTTATAGAAGCAAAATGTATAAAAATATTTGTTTTATGTATCATTTTTATTTACTTTTATTTTGTTTTTATAAAAAATAAAAATCAATTTTACATTATAAATAAAATGATCGTAAAAAAAGTTAGACTTAAGTCTAACTTTTCCAGTTTTTTTTACAGTTACTTTATTTATAATGTAAAATTGATTTTTATTTTTTATGAAATACATAAAAACAAAATAAAAGTAAATTAAATTGATAGATAAAACAAACATTCTTAATACTTTCTACTTTTATAATAAATGCATTTTTCCTAATTTTGGATTTAATTTTGCCAATTAAGCTTGTCAATTAAGGGGCTGATGTCAAAAACAATGAAGAAATTAAATGAAACTAATAAATTTAAAAGAGTCCAAATTATTATAAAAGAGTATTAATAGAATTTTACTTATATTAAAATGGACAAAAAACACTCATGAAACGGTTCAAATTTAACTTATTAGTCCTCCTTTTGAGCCGTGAAAACATTACTTAAAGTTTTTACATGATTTAAATTTGTAATTTTTTACGGTTGAAAAGGACTGATTGTAAGTTAAGTTTGAAACGTTTTGCGAGTGGTTTTTACCATTTTGAATCTGAATAATTATTTAATTTGGATTCGTTCAAATTTTTTACCTTTGCTCAGTTTCTTCATTACTATTCTATCTATCCGTACTACTTTTCCTTTTGATGCTTTCAGGTCTTTACTATGGCGTCAGCATTTGTCTGGTGTCGTTCGCATCCGGTCTAGCGGTCGTGACGTTGAATTTGCATCACCGTGGTGTACGGGGCATCCGCGTACCGAGTATCGTGAGATCGCTGGTCTTAGACAAATTAGCCAGGATAGTATTTCTGAATTTCCAAGAGGAGAATAGATCGGTAAAACGGATGCACGTAATGCACATGCATACATTGTTTCTTGTAATGCGGAGCATTTTGCAAACCACCATCCAATTTCCTATTTGAATATAATAAAATTGGGCCAATATTCCGTTGTACGCGCGATTCTGATTCAGATCGATCAGATTAATAATTCTGAGAATCGTACAGTTTCCTGCGGATAATAGCGTAAACAAGGTCGGCGTCAGCCGTTCGTTCCAGCATACATAAGTAAAACGATATAACGGAGGATGGTACTTTCAATATTGTATAAAAGAATAAAAGAATAGATGTATAGTATAAAAGAATTGAAAAGTATATATATAATCGATTAAAAGACATATAAGAAATTTATAAGCGAAAGAGAACATTTAAAATGTAAATTATGAACAATATGATGAAATATGTATGAGATTTTAATTATTAATAAAAAAATACGAAAAATAGATCGAGAGAGATATAAACTTTGTCTCCGAATGTTTTTTGACTATACGAACGTCTGTAGCTGATTCTGAGCGTAAACGAATAACATATTGGGTTTCATCAAGAGAAAGTTTCGCGGTTGATACAATTTCTAAACACGAGCCCGCTATTACTCCGTTCTATAGAAAAGTTACAGCGCAATCATCAATATGGTATCACAGTGATTTGTTATATCAGCAGGAGCCAACGGAACAATTCCCGAGAAGAAAGAACAATTGTCCGCTGCACTGTAAACCTGAACTGTCGGAACAGCACGTATCTGCCAAATATGTATCGAGGAAAGACGATAGTAACAGTTCTAGTCCCAGTTTAGGTGAGTCTGTGATAAAGACAACTAAATTTATTAAAATGTCAGTGACATATTAAAAGACACGAAGTTACATGATTGAAAAAGTCGCTTAGCTTTTTTTTAGTTCTCATAACTTTGGTTTTTTTTTTAAATATTTAATGTTATTTATTATTAAATTCTCAAACATATATTTATATTATTTATCTTTAAGTGTATTTATTAATTTATCTTCATGTGTTTATATATTATAAGTTTTTATATATGTTTATATATTATATATTTATATAATAAGAATTGTATAAAAGTAAATTTTCTTCTAGAATATAAAATAAGTTTCCATTCTTTCTCATAAAACCATTATTTTAGAATTGCAATTTTATACAACTTAACTTTTTTATTTTCTATATTTTTATAAATTCGTTGTAACTCAAAAAATTACAAAAATTTCACAAAAACTGAAATATGTTTTTCTAAAATAATCATATCGCTTTTGTGCAATGTGTAACTTGATTACGAAATATTTACTTTCATTTGCAATCAAGCGTAACGATCTGATATATTTCTTGTTTCAAATACATCCTGTCGTTTCTGATTATACTTTAATAGTCTGTCCGTCTAGTTTGGTCTGATCTAGTTTTTTTTAGCCAGTTTATTTGTGCCGTATGATCAATATATATTATGAATCCTGTCGAACGATCGCATAGATCTCGGAAAAGAAGGCGGCCTTGAGGCGCATTGGTCCCGAGTCCTGGGAAGAGTGCACGCGACCATCGAGAGGAACGAGCGGCGCCTGGTCGAGCAGGATCGTCGGGAAAGGACAGAGTTAGATTGGAAACAGGTCGCCTTAGTCAGTGATCGTGTTCTATTGTGCGTTTTCTTGCTTACGACGATCGTCAGCACGGCGGTGATTTTATGTGGTTCGCCCCCGACTCCGGATGTGTCCAAAGATGGCTAATCCTTGGACTACCGGTTCGACTAACCGTTCGATGGTTGGCGAAAAACGCTTTTCGAGAATCACCGATGATTTTTGCTCCAGATAATTTTGTTTATAATATAATAGGAAGAACGATTTTACTAAAAAGCTTTACGGAATACAGATCTGAAAATAATTTTATTGGAAATTCAAACTGATTGTTAAAATACACTTTTTGCAGCATTGGTCATCATTTTTTAATTTCCAACATGATTACTTGACGATCCAACAAAATTATTTTCAGATTCGTATCCAGTAAAATTTTAGATCTTCCAGCAAGATTCTTTCTATATACTAAAAAAAATTAAATTTAACAGGCTCATTGATATGACGAATAAATACATATTTTTTCGTTATTTGTTTTATAACAAAATATGTGTTAACTCATGCAAAAAGTGAATTTTTAAAAACTAAAGTGGGAAGCTCTATTTCATTTGCTGATATTATTAAAAGAAAAATCATTTTAACATAAGTCCAGTTGCTTCATATGTTTCTTGAATGAAATATCGTGTAATTTTAGATAAATGTGACATGTTTAGAAAACGAAGCATCTATTTTTCGAACAGAGGTGAATTTAGGATACAAAAAACCGCTATTTATTAATTTCGACAACACATTAATTTCTTTCTTTTTAAATAAACATTAATAGTTTCTTAAAAATTCACGTATCTCAAATTATAACTTAAATTCGCCTCTATTCTTTCAACGTTTCCTTTTTTATATCGAACGAATGAAGAATAATTTCGAATAGTTGAAATTGTAAATATATCTGTATCGAATTTATCACAGTATACGTAAATCTATCGAAGTAGTGAATTCGTAAAAACTCATTAGTGTGTTAAACATGTGTTTATCGATAAATATCAATATTTAGATTTAGAAATTCTTTATGGATGAGAATACATTATCTAATAATAAAACGGTAAATGTATTATCAATATTGAGATGTACTAAAACAGGGAGTGAAAGTATAATTTAAGACATAGTAGGAATAAATAATGAAATAGATTTTATTTATTTAACAAATGAAGTCCCGCAACCACATTTTTAAATTATTAAGTACTTTTAAATTGATTTTTTCTTATTTATGTAAAAGTATTTATCTATTTCGTGCATCTAATAAAAATCTATAAAATATATTAGTACATAATAAATATATTAAGAATCTTTAATAATAATCAGGTACAGGTGCACAAGCTATTTTTACAAAGTCTTCATATTTCACGTGTCCGTTCAGAGACACATTGGCCTCACGGAAGATTTGTTCCACTGCAATAAACGATAACATACCAAATACAAAATCTATGATTAATTATTGTTTTACCTTCTTTGCTATTCAATTTTTCTTTTGAGTGAAGCAAAATATGTGATTAATTATTTATTGCTTTATTACCTTCTTTACTACTCAATTGTTCGCCCCAATGAAGCAACATATGTGCCAACTGTCGTGCTGGAATAGTGCCACTGCGAGAGGTATCAGCAGCTTGAAAAGCTTTAATCACTTCTTTCGGTAGATCCTCCGCACGAGTCTGAAGATGCATTACCTCCAGGAAATCGGCAAAGGACATTTTTCCACCTAGAATCAACATAAAATATTTTTATTTTCCTTGTACAAAGTTTCTCTGATCTTTAAAACTTTTAGAGTGAATCTCACTTTAAAAAATGAAATTGTACTCTTAAAGATTCAAAATTGAGCCACTGTTATTCAAGAGTGGTTCAATTTTCACTCTTTAGAATAAGATTCCACTCTAAAGAATTTAGAGAATGGCAAAAGCTTGTATTGAATATTGTAGCCTATGGATTACCTTTATCCTTCATGTACTTGTTCAATTCTGCAATGGTCGGACTCAGTCCCAAAGATCTCATAATTATAGTAAGCTCGTCAAGCGTGCGAATCTGACCGCTTCGGGCAAACAGGTAGAAACATTCTCGGAACTCTGCAAAAGTAATAATTTCAAATCAGCTTGTTCGATTTATTTCAGCTGTACGATAGGCAATGGTAATTTCGCAAAACGATTTTAAACGTACCATCTATATCCTCTTCTCTGAAATAACGCGCCTGCAACAATTACATACCGGATGAGACACGAAGAGTAAAACAGAACGCATATTAAGTAAACTTGGTTGTGCAAAGGAAAAAGCTAAACAAATAAAACCGTACGAGAAACATGACGAAAGTAGATCAAGTTCCAGAGAATCGAGAAATTACATTCTAAATAGACCTCAGAATTGTTGACGAAATTATAATATGTATTGGGATTACCATGTTTGATTAGATTCACACAGATCGTGTCTCTGTTGAGTGTCGGATTTTAACGCGATTTTGTTGATTTTGACACAACAGGTGTTTTATGCGAACGTAACCTCACTTGTTCTCCCTGCTTGTAACAGAGCGACATCGTTCGTCGGGAGATTGTACTAGAAATCCTGATTGCGCAACCTGTGCAAAGGAAGGTCAATGTTCCTAGCTGTCGTCGAAACACAATTTTAGAATGCATGACTTTTTAACGAAAGTCCGCAGAAACTTTCAAACGCGGATTTCTGTAGAAGCGATCTTTGATAAATTCAAATCGAGCACTTTTGACGAGTAGAAAGTTGACTTTTTTGAGAAGAAAAGATGCTCAAAGGAAAATGGTTTGATCGAAATGATAATTCAGGAATATATTAGGGCAAAATAATTAACCCTTTGATGCCACTATACGCTTTGTACCTGCTATGCGCTTTGCCACATACACAATACACACTGCAGGGTATTGTGTAAAAATATCGCGTAAAAATGAACATACATATTTATAACATTATTTTAAAAATCCAAATGCAATATTAAGGAATATAATAATATATATAGTAACGAATAAATATATCTTTATCTATTAATAAAAAAGTTGTAGCATAAAAAGTAAAATAAATAATCGAATAAGTTATACCCACTACCAGGCACTACTGAAAGATCAAATATCATGAAATCACACCAAATATATTTTCTTTTGTGTATTCTAATAAAATTAATCTCATAATTGCCGTCTATTCGCGTTCCGATTTTCCTACAATTTTTATTTACATCTTCATATTTTGGCTCAAAATTGATGCTGTATATTCCAAGATTACATTTAAATGGAATATTTATGTATTGTTTACGTTGATTTACAAAAATTCATCATGTAGATAACACAATTAATGCAAAATATGTAAATTATTATAAATTGGATAATATAATACAGAAAGAAGTAATCAAGTTTTGTGATTGTAATATAATATATTTGACTTTATAATATTGGTAAAGAAAAATATACAATGTCCTAAAATTCGCGACTCAGAATAATGTAGCGAGAACATTTTCAAAAAATTTATTACATTTTAAAAAAACTGTTCGTAAACTTTTATTTTAAGCCATAATTTCTGAAATAAGGGTTTAAATGCGGCCAATTACAAACTATGATTAGATAATCTCTCGTGAATGAGTTCCCTTCATTTATAGTGATATAAGTCGACACATATTCTATCGTTCTTTGTATTCCATGAATAACGAAGACAGAATAATATTTGTATCGACTTTATTATTAAATGGAAGACACCGAGTATATTGATGAGTGCTAAAGTGTACGCTCATTAATTACTGCCGCACGAATCACTCACATAGACAGATGATTATCTAAACATAGTTTGTGATTGGCTATATTTAAGTCTCCATTATCTAAAAAAGTCATTATTTTAAAATAAAAATTGTTAACTAACATTTTTACTTAATTTTTTTGAGAACATTTTGGCTAATAATATTTTGAATTGCAAATTTTGGAATATTCTGTATAATTGAGATAGAAGTTTCAGTACAATTCGATGTAACATAAAAAGAACATAAGATATATCTGTAGATTGTTTACATAGATGTGTGCGTGCGTATGTATGTGTGATAGATGTAGATATTTATACATATATTTTATGAGTATGCATATAATCCTGTTTTGACTTTTAAGAAAATCATTTAATTATACATAAATTTAATACACTGTACTGATAAAAGTTTTAAAAGTAACTGATTTTAAAATATTCGTTATAAATTAAAGAAAACGAACAGTTTTTTTCATATCTAGACAAAATTAAACTCGCTTTAGACGACCTACAATTTTATATTAAATTTTCGATGGAATGACATTTTTTATCTGATACATCACGTATTTTTATACATCTGTATATTTTAATATTTCATATACGTATGTATTTAACATTTCATATACTCGTACGTGTTCGTTCTGAATTTATAAGTTCTTGATTTGACTTAACAAATTTGTAAGTATTACACAGCACGTGAAATTATAAGTTCCGTCCTGAATTCTAAAAAGCTCACTTTGGCTGGAAAGCGTAATTATATTGATGTATTCGATATGAAGAGTAATAGATTCAATTTACAATCATGAGATGGATAAAATAAAATTTATAAAACTCAAATTTATTTTTCGATTAATTATCTTTGAATCGATTATATAACAACGGGATATTATGACGTGGATTCATTCATTTAATAGCAAATTCAACCTGTCGAATCATAATAATTATTTTTTCATAATCATTATTAAATTTCAATGTATTATTTTTATAATTATATTTTTACAAAAATTTTTAATATTAGTAATACAAAGAATCACATTTATTATTACGAAATTACGTATAATATATTTTTGTGAGTCCAAATAATACTTCATTTCCGTTTATTTTTAAGATAATGTACTTTAATTATTGCGCATCTTTTTAAATAAAATAATTTTGAGAAATATAGTCTATTTTAGTCATTGTTAATAAATTACTAATTAATGTGTATTTCGAAAAAATAAGCTTTTTTGTTATGATTATCTTCCTTGAACCCTTTTTGTACTCACTGTATATATCTTTAATATTTATATCAGAAATAGTAAAACTATTTTTATTATTTACGCTGAAAAAAGTATTAAATTTTAATAAATATTTATTTGGATAATTCTAGGTAAATATATTTACTAAATGTATATTTATTTGACAAAAACGATCAATTTGATTTAATTATTTTTTTATTAAGTAAATATTTATTTACTCAGTTTTATTCAAAGAAATATGTATTAAGTATAATATGTCTACTCAGTATTATTTAAAGAAATATGTATTAAAATTTATTATAGTAAACCTAATCTTTTTTCAGTGCAAAATTGCATAAATAAGTTTATCTCTATACAATAGCCGGACGTCAGGCAATCTAATTTCTGTAATTCAATAAGATAAACAAAAGTGTACATCTATAATAGATAATCATCCCTTCGCTCGACAACGAATATCCCTATAACAATTCACCAAGGTGATAAGGTCAGGAAAGGGTGATTAATCAAATGAGGACGTTAGCAACTTTTCGGTGAATAAATTCTAGGCTAATTGCGACTAATGTGATTGGGCCGCTATCGGAGTGGTGGTAAAAAAGGAAGATAAAGAGTCTTACGGTGTGAAGAATAGCCGAAAAGAATAGCCGAACGGAACAATGATCCGGTAATCGTCTCCCTTCCGGCGCGGCGGACGTATTAGAATTTATTTCGAATACGCCGACGGCTGTGTGCCCGCCGGTGGCTATTGATTTAACGCCCTTCGCCTCCGCGTCTCGTTAAAAAGCCTTTCGCCATCAATCTCGACATCTTTTATGATGCCGACGATTACTCTCCTCTCTGTTACGGAGGATCCCTCTTGGAGACGAAACAATTTTTTCGCGTCTCTGGGAATGACTCTTGACGTTACTCACGTTACTCCGTGACGTCAAAAGGAAACACGAGAGACGGCCGTGAGGAGGAGGAGAGATGGGGGAGAAAATATCGACTTCGCTCGCGCGACACGATTGCGAATTAATGACGCGACTCGATTTCGCGAGCGAAAACGTAAAGTATCGGACGATTGCTCGCGTCTCTAAAATACTCTCGACGTTTCGCTCGAGATCGCGAATGCTGTTACTTTGTTTCCATTCGCCTTGTATATTTCAACGTATTGAATGTCACGCTAATCATACACGCTCTGATTTAAATATCTGCGCAACTGAACGAAATAATTTAGACCGGTATTCATAGTCGATTCTTATATTTGAAAATACAGTTCTATATTCTCATATTTGTAGGACAGTCTTAAGATGTCATAACCCAATTAAAGGGTTGTATTAGCATTTTATAAGATACTACTTGAGACAATCTCAAAATAAGAACGGATTATGAATACCGTCCTTAAAATTAAAATTTTTTAATTTTAATTCTAATTTTTAATTTGCAATTCTCAATTTTCAATGTATAGTATAACACGGGCAATTGGCGATAAGATTCGCGCCAGTTTTGTTTACAATTATGTACTGAAAGAATCCCGATATTAATTATGTGGAAAATTGGATTTCGGCGAAATTAGTCGCATATTTATGTATAGCTTATTGTAATGTGGGAAATAAAAAATGTCATAGACAATGGATAATTTTTTAGCTATGGTATATCGACTCTCTAAATTCTTTGGAGTAAGATTTTACTTTTGTGGAATAAGATTTACTCTAAAGAATTTAGAGAGAAAGATGTAAAACTTGTGCTCACATAGCACATTTGATGTAAGATTTTAATCATAAAACAATAATCAGCGGAATAATATATGATTAAATATACAAATCTATCTTCTTATCTAGCATCAGACATGTAATCTATTGTCATCCACGCTCTCATGAAACTATTATTATTATTACACGATATATTCACACTTTGTTAAAGAATTCCGTAACTAATTATATGAAAAATTAAAGTTTAGTAAAAATAAATTAGTTTTTACGTATAATAACATATAATGATATATAATAACTTATATGTAAAGAATAAAACAGATAGAAGGCTCAATAATGAATAGTTTTTTTAGGTATAGTGTTTAGCTATTAAAGATGTAAAACTTGTGCTCACAGAACACCTTTAATATAGCTAAAAACCTGTCAATTATTGATCCTTATATCTATGACATTTTTTTGTTCTCTACTTTATATGCGAAAACTAAGTCATTTCAACGAGATTCAATTTTCCATACGATTAGTACGGAGTAATTATTACTGTCAATATTAACTTGACACCGTAATTTATCAACTTTTATTATTAGACACGTGTCTGTAATCAAATGATTAATATTAATCTTATCGATTAATGGTTAAAGTAACAACCGCAAAATCCGCGTCGATCCTCCATGAAAAATGCAATCGCTGCGTCATCCTGTAAATAAATAAGATCGTCGCGGCAGTCAGCAGCGTCTAAGCTCGATAGTTACGTTCAGTTAGCGTTTCTCTCGGGGGTTAGCAATCGTTAAGAGCCGCGGCGAGAGCCGAGAGAGCGCACAGACTCGGCAGAGAGCAAACCCGTGGAAACTAATTGGATATCGCGGGCTCGTCCTTTGCAGCATACCGTTTCCATAATTAAATTGCTCGCGGCCTCGGCGCCGCCGCATGTCGATAATCAAACTAATCCATGGCGCAACATTCCCGGGGTAATGGTTTCGCGCCGTCGACTACGCGGCAGGGTGAGAGGAAGGATTCCAAACGTTCACTACCCCCCCCCCACCTCTTTCCTCCCTTCGATGCTTGTCGCCGCCGCCCTTTTGTCATCGTCCTCGTCGCTTTCGTCGCGTTTCCTTTTGTTTCATTGATAGATCGTTCCTTTCTCCTTTCGTAAGAATGGTCGTCGCGCACTCGTCGCGCGTTTCGGTTATACGAGGGTAGAAGCAATATACCGAACGACAGATACGAAAATATATAGCGCGACAGAAAGGAGGCGGAAGACGGCAGCGGTTCAAAATAGATGTAGATCTATGGGGTAGACGGAAATGGCGGTTAAGGGAGAGGGAGAGTGAGAGAGAAAGAGAGAGGGAGAGGGAGAGGGGAATTGAGCGAGAGAGAAGCGGAATATCGGGTGTAAAGGATGCGAGGAGGAGGAAGTTCGCGAAAGGACGACACGTTAGCGCGCGCACGTCTCTCGTCCTACCCCGTTGCTCCACTCCTACGGATCCACGGGGGGAGGCATAAGGGGGCCATAAGGGCAGATCATGATTTCCCCCCTCCCTTTATATCTCCTTTTTTTCTCTAAATATT